GCCGAACCACGTAAAATTTGTGTTCTTGTAGTGATTTGTAATTGCTTGTAGGTTCCCTCGACATTTTAGTCTTAGAACTGATGAGAGGAAGAGCTGATATTCCACTTTAATGAGATATCTGGCTTTTGGTTCTTGTTTTCTTTGAGAAACGAGAATTTCGTTGTGATCTAATCTCTTGTTGTGCACCTTGCGCACCGGAGATGCTGCCGAAATTTTCGCTGCGCACAACATTCACCTGATCTACCCTTTGCCAGGTCCTTCAGACCCAGTTCTGATGCAGCAATATGGAGAGCAGTCGCCTTCCTACTGCTCCTTGTGCCTGTCCAGAATAGAGTGAAACAAGCAATATTAGATGCTATGGCTTGTTGAGAGACAGGAACAACATTGAAAATGAAGTTATTCATGCTAGACCAAATGCACCAACAGCAGCAGGGTAGAATGACTTTCCAAAGAGATTTTACATTACTATATTTCAGAAAACTATCCTTATCAGCAGCAAGAGACAGAGCTTCCTACAGCCAATTTTCGACAGGTTCTTGGGGAAGAAGAATAGACCAAATCCCTCTAGTGAAAGAGCAAGTATTGAACAGGTGGTCATAGCCTTGACTTTTAGTTTCCTTCATATCTGGGTGTTTTATAGGTTGGTTTCATAAAAACACATATAAGAAATTACATGGCCAAGCATTGACATTTTCATGATTAGTTTAGAAAGTGCAACTACAAAAATCTTACGCCTTGTTATCTTTATTATTAGATTACTAACCCATTGCTTTTTTAAAATCATACACTTGTCATGATCCGAATAATTGAGAAGTTTTAATATATATGGCTCCCAAGATTTTGGGTTTGATTCCCGTATTAAAAAGTATATGTATTTTACTCTAATAATGGTATATATGGCTATCACGTTTAATATGAACCTCGGGTATTTTACGTACCAGGTACCAAGACTTTACCATCCTTTTGATAATACTTTCAAGTGGCATATATTTAGTTAACAAGCACTATAATTATATAAAGGCTATGACATCAATGACCATAATGCTAAAATATTATTATTGTTATTATGAATATTATTATTCTTGGATTTTTTTTAGAGTGCTGCTACGGGGACCCAAAATATGGGACCAAGAGAGGGGACGGGTGAGGTGTCTCCTCCCTATTGCATAATGAGTTGACATGAGTTGGCATGACCAACTCATTATGCAATAGGGAGGAGACATCTCACATGTCTCCTCCCTTGGTCCCATATTTTGAGTCCTTAAAATATTTTCCTTTTTTTATAAGGGGGTATTTATTGAAGAGGGTAATACGGGAAGTTAGAAGTTGGTGCAGCTGTCATCTAAGTTGCTTATAATTGTATCTTACCGCGTTAGGAAAAATAAAAGAAAGAAAAAACAGTGTGGTTGGTGCTCAACCAATAGTTTTCTATCATCTATTGTCTTTTTCAATTAAATATTATATCACCAATATATGTGGTTCTCTTCTCCCTCTCCTGTTACTTGGTCTGCAGGGATTGGGATCCTCTATTCATCAATAGTGACTCCTAACATTTGCTAATGCATCTTCATCTTTCATTTTGTGGATAAACATAAAATAAAAAATGGTCCCACAAAATGAAAGGTGGGGATGCATTAGCAAATATTAGGAGTTACTATTGATGAGTAGAGAATCTCAATCCGATCTGTAGACCCTCAAGCTTTCTTATGAATCAACAAGTCCTATGTTTGGATAAAAAGTAAGATTGAATATAGTTCACAAATGAGGAGGGGAAAAAAAGTTTTGCTCGTTTTACAGCAGAGAAGACTAAATTGGTCATTCATTCGTAGCACATAATTTCAATCTCCTTCAAATCCTATGCCTTCATCTGTGTACTCTTGTCATTGGTGTGTATATATTCAACTTGTAATTGATTAATATATTCAAATAAAAACTTAATTAGGATTATATATCAAAACATTACTTTTGGGTTTTTCAAGGTGTTTTTTTATAGAAAATGTAAGAAAAATTCCCCAAGGACCCAAAATATAGGACCGATAGGGGGACAGGTAAGGTTTTCCCTCCTATTGTATAATGAGTTGACCATCACTCATTATGCAATAGGAGGGGGACACCTCACATGTCCCTCCTGTTGGTCTCATATATTTGGGTCCCTGTAGCAAAGCTCAAAAAATAAATTTCTTTCTCAAACAAGTAGCAGATTTTTCTTTTGGAAATAGTGTTTGGACCATGATGTTACATGTGTATCTAAAAGATAAGGCAAAATCATGATCTTAATCATATAATTATGGGACATGAGATGACTCGAAAAGAGAGATGCTTTTAAATAAAATTCGTGTTGGTTTACAAGAATGCAATATCAGCTTCCTAAAATAGATCGACCCCCTAAATCTTCATATTCCTAAATTAGACCCCCTAGATATTCACATTCATTCGAAATGGGGGTCTTATTAAAAGAACTTAATAGATTTGAAGTATAAATTAAAAATATGGTAGTGGTGTTATTTAAAACTACTCAGCGACTTTGGGAGTTCGGTTGAGAATATGGAGATTTAGGGGATCTACTATAGAATTAACAAAGATTTGGGTGGTCTAATAAGACAACAACTCTCAGGAAAAAGTCATCTAAAATTCAAGGGGCCAAATTATTTGTGAGGGGAAAAACGAAAGAAAGAATTAACTAGGGCATTTGACTAGGAATTGGCGCAGTTCATGAAAACGTAGGTCAATTAGGGAAGGGAAGCGTGCCAATAGACAAGCCTAAGACTACCATATTAATCAAGAACCTCTAAGCTTTCCTAAATCATCTTCTTCAAAATTTAGTTACGGTTTTTTTCTATAGAGTGCCCATGGGCACTCTATAAGAGAAGAGAGGGATAGAGAGAAATGAATAGCTCATGGACCTCCTTGATTTGTATTAATTTCTGTGCATAATTCATTTATCTCTATCTCTCTCCTCCCTTATAGTGTGTCCATGGGCACTCTATAGAAAAACCGATTTAGTTATTATGGCAGATGGATTCGCGCCTTGAAACCATAAAATTAACCATCATCATCTCAACCACCCTTCTTGTCTCAGTCTAGGAATTAATTGCCAAATTAAGTTGGATTGGAACCTTTGAAGTCTTGCAAAACACTTCATAGAAAGTCACACCCTACCCCTAAGTTTGTAGCCTAATTAAAGTTTGGAGTAGACTCTTAATTGTGTTTACTTATGTTTCTTCGGTGTGCAGCTACCCACTTGGCTTAAATGATTATTCTCAACCTATGTCTATCTACTGGGGTCTTAAATAACCTTGTTGTTCTTATTTAATTATTCTCTTAATTGTTGTTTTCTTATTTAATTGTCAATTTCTTTTCTGTCCAAAGCTTTAATGGTGGAATCCTACAACTTGTTCTCTTTTAGGCTTGGGTTAAGAGGTTCCATCCTAGTCTCTCTACACGCATCACAATGAAACAAGTGTCATGCTCTTAGTTTTCTTCTTATAATAAATAAAATCAAGAGTGAGCGAAGAGCAAGAGAGCTGTTGTGCTCTGATAGCACTTGTTGGGCTCTGACGGACGTAGGTAATTTGCCGAACCACGTTAAAATTGGTTGTTTGAGTTTATGTCATTATTTTGCATTGTTTGGCTTTCTCTCTTGGCATTGGTATTTGTTCTCGGCACCCTATCGGTTTGGCCTCCGCGCGCTACAAGTGGTATCAGAGCACAACAAGGGCTACCCAACCTCTACGGTTTTGACTAATAAAATCATAAACATGCAATCTTAACAACTGTGATTTATTTTTTTAATATGATTAACAATGTATCCTCATCAATTGCACCGCTCCTATTTTCACCTGGATAAATCACAAACATCCATGTAATGGTAGCCATAATGATTAAGAAAAATCCAATGTTGTGCAAATGCTGAAATGCAGGATTATGTTACGAACCTAATAATAACATAAGATGTTATCATAAGTCTCTCAAAAGGCGCCCTAGGGTTCACTTGAAACCTCAAACGATAAGATTAGGGCTTATTTTATGTTAAAGTTCAACGTCTTGTGGCCTACCTAAATCTAGTGGCTCTAGTTGTTCATGGCCAATTATCCTGCATTTGATGATATTACCAAATTGGGACTTCATCCCCAAAAAAATAAATAAAAAAAAAAATAAAAAAAAAATCCAAAACTCAAAATTATGATCTCATAAATGTTTCCATCCTTCATTTTCCTGGCCTGGCCTGATAAAAGTAGCATTTATATTTTGGGTGGGTCCCAGTAACGTGTGACCATAAATCCTAAACCCCAAATGGGGTCTGACCCCTTCTCGTAAAGTACATGAACAAGCCTTAGCTTGCCCATGAAGAGTGGCCGC